GACATGTTAGTGATTTTGCTTGCTCGATGCATATATTAAAGTATTTGTTGTATGTGAATATGCCAAATAGTTCTCTGAATAATAGGCTTATGCATATTAATAAGTTCATGTATAATGGTGTACATTAAAATTCATGTATGTTCAAACCTCAATTATTTTTGCGGCTTTTCTCAGAACAGCTGCTCTCTCACTTCCAGAATACGATGACCATATATGGAACGCATCTTGAGAACTTTTCACTGCATTGTCAATGTCGTCTTGACTCGAACTTGGACAGGTACATAGTAGTTTACCTACAACAAAGAAACAAACAGATGCAAATCTAATACATCCATATTTAAGATTGTCTGGTAAAGTGGAATGAAGTTAAATGTTGTGGTGAAATGTAGCAGGGGTAGAGCAAAGATTTTGCAAAAGAGGAGATCCAAAACTATATTTGGCTTTCAAATTCAGAGTAAAGCTTGAAACCAAATTTCGACATGGAGTAAATTAAATATGTACTTCTCAGCTCACTGTTAGTGATTGCCATACATGTATGGCAAAGATACAAATGAGAAGACAGCAATGGATTGGTGAACAGGCAGATAAGCAATTTCAATGACTTTGACTTTGTTTTAATGAAAACTGGAAGTACACATGAGGGTATGTGTTATTATTGATTTTGGAAACTCAATTAAAGGAATTAAACTGAATTAAATAACCATGTTTGTTTATTTAGTTTACAAACACCATGGTCAGTCACACAAAGTCCCCCAAATTCAAAAGAGATTTTTAAATGCGCTGGGGAACACAAGACGAATAATTGTGCATACATAGATGACGACTCCACGTTATAAAGCAGCATGAAAATGGCAATTTAAACTTTGCTTGCAGATTTTCCTGGGGCAGATTTACATAATACTACAGTACGATAACACGGCCAGTCACACAAAATCCATCAAAAGGGAACTGCAAGTTGTATAATGCCAAAACAGTACCATGATTTCACAACTTTCGAAATGCGTTTGCTTTTATCGATGCCCACTGTACACCAGTAAATGTCTTCCCGTTCGCAAGAACACAAAGCCTAAACTATCAGAAATTCGTAACGCATAATTCTAGTGATGGTATTACAAAATAACTCATCATTTGTAAATTCAATCCATTGAAAAAGTATAAAAAACATTTTCATAAACAATTTTTATTATATAATACACTTTGAAAAGAAACAAGATTCATAAACATAAATCTATTTGAATATATTCTCACTACAAATTACACAATACTTATTTTCTAATGGAGTTCCTTCACAGCGCAAACTATTGGAATCCATGCACACGTGTGAGTACTTAGGTGACACATTTTATAGCTACAATGTACGCCCAAAATAGTCCATCATTTTTTGCACAACTGTGACCAAATGACATCATTCTGTTAACATCCACACATTTTCATAAAATCTCCATGCACTTTTTGACCTTTCATAAGTAAAATATACTACATTTTACTCCAGAAAAACAATTTTCATGGTACATTCCTACATTCTTGCATACTAATGAGGGGTTCAGACACATTCCAAGCTGAACAATTTTCTTGGACTAATAAAGCTGGTCAATCCTTTCCCAGCAAAAATACACACACATACATACAATCTCTTGAATAGGTGTCAAGGAAGATTGAAAGGCCTTACTTCGGTTCTAAAATAGGAGTTACGAAATGTTGAAAAATTACAGTCAATCAAAAATCAAAGAAAGCTTAGAAAGAACTCCCGTGTGCTGAGAGTTTTGGAGACACATTACAAATTAATTCAAAATTACTTAATAATACTTCAGATATTGATGGAATAGCTGAAAACTAATTATGCAAATAAAGTAACTAATATGAACAGATTTAAGTGTAAAACTAATAAGGTCTGCACAATGTACCAAGTTTCATTGAAATGTTATTAGAACCAAAAAAATATTA